AGGAGCCTCTTCTGGGTCTCCCACGCGGGTGCAGGGTCCCAAAGCTTTGGGCCGTCCTCGACTGCTTTCCCAGGCCACAGGCAGGGAGCTGGAAGGGAAGTGGGGCCGCCGGGATTAGAACCGGCACCCATATGGGATCCCGGGCATGCAAGGCGAGGACCTTAACCACTGCACTACCACGCCGGGCCCTGCTCAGGCTGTTTTAAGGAGGAAAAGAAATGAACGGCAAAATACCTATGGATGAGGAAAAATCAAGCCTCACAAATTGTGATAATGGAGGAGACCATGTACATGTTTGAGGGCAAGAATTATTTGGGAAATCTGTGCCTTCAGCTCACTTTTGCCACAAACCTAGAATGCAATAAAGGCGCACCCTATATGACAGTAGCAGCTACAACAAGAATGAAGGCAGTTGGAAGAGCTGGTGAGCATTATTACGAAATTTAAAGAGGAAGCAGTTTGGCTTGGAATGTGTTGGGGCAGGAACATTAAGCTTAATGATTAGGGAGAAGAGATTTGGTTTCAAATACTGGCATTTCATAATGTAAAGATGAACATATTCACCTTTATTCCTTGATTGTTACTGGTAGTGCAATGAATAAGACGAAACTGTTCCTGCTGTCTTACCAAAAACAATAATCTGAGTTGCTCCCCTGCCCCACCCCTACTTTCGAAAAGATTTGCTTAATTTAAAGGCAGAGCAACAGAGTTCAACCTCCAGATGGCTGCAGTGGCTGAGGCTGGGCCAGGCTGAAATGAGCAGCCTGGAAATCCTGACCTCCTAGGGGTCACGTTTGGAACCTTCCCTGACCTCCTACCTCCTAGGGGTCATCTTTGGAGCCTTCCCTGACCTCCCAGGGGTCATCTTTGGAGCCTTCCCTGACCTCCCAGCAGTCATCTTTGGAGATTTCCTTGACCTGCCAGGGATCATCTTTAGAGCCTTCCTTGGCCTCCCAGCAGTCATCTTAGGAATCTTCCTTGACCTCCCAGGGGTCATCTTTAGAGCCTTCCTTGACCTCCCAGGGGTCATCTTAGGAGCCTTCCTTGACCTCCCAGGGGTCATCTTAGGAGTCTTCCTTGACCTCCCAAGGATCATCTTTAGAGCCTACCCTGACTTCCCAGGGGTCATCTTTTGCGCCTTCCCAGACATCGAGGTAGGCAACTAGATTGGAGATGGAGCTTGTGCTGTGTTAGGCATTCTGGAATGCTGGTGTCCTGAATGGCTGATTACCCCACATCACCTTAACTTGTTCTCTTGTCTCTGTTGACTTGTTACATGTGAATATGTTGGCAGTTGGGAGTTGCATTTCATTTTCCCCCCAATTTGCTTAGTGTGCTGTTAAATGAATATAGCCCTGCTGTCAGTCTTCATTCTGTGAGACAGGAGCTATGTGGCATGTAGCGGGCAGCCAATGGCTGCTTGGAAACTGCTTTAGGCCAGAGGCAGAACTTACACCCTGGTCAGGACATAGCCTTTGGGGAAATGACTGTGTTGTAGCTGTGCATTTTTTTAAATTTGTTTTTCTTTACTGGCAGTTTTCTTGTGTTTTTAAAATTTATTATTATTATTATTATTATAATCATCATCATTTTATGATACAGTTCCATAGGTCCCTGAGATTTCCTTTATCCCTCCCCAGTTTCCCCTCCTCCTCACCACTGAGTTCCCTTATATCATGCTAAAGTACAGTTCTTCATACAGTCATATGTCCATTATTATAGGCATGGACAATGGCAGAGAGTCCAGCATTGTCATATAGTAAACAGTTTCATTGGGAACCCATCTTTAGTCTGGAATTAGATATCCATACTTCATTGTATCCTCATTTCTGGAAGTGTTAGTCTCCATTTCACATTTACGGTACGTCTTAAGTGAAAAACCACAATACAAAATCAACAATAGGAAAAAAACTAGAACTTCATAATGCCTTGAAATTGCACAACATGTTACTAGGTATGAGAGCCTCCATTACACAGTTACTATCTATCCCCTTAAATGAAAAGCTACAAAACAAAATCAACAGCAGGAAGAAAAAAAGTTAACAACAATAAATTAAATAACATGCTACTAAATGACTAATGTGTTGCTGAAGAAATGAAAGAAAATCAAAAACCTTCTTGAAGAAAATCATGCTACTATATGATCCATGAGTCATTGAAGAATTTAATCAGAAGAAAGTGTTTTGAAGAAATGAAATTAACAACAAAAAAAATAAAAATCCATGAGATACCGTTTCCGCTGCTTATCACCTGTAGGCAACAGATGGGTTTTGTTTTTTTGATCCAGTCTGCTAATCCATTACATTTGGTTGAGCTGAAGCAATTTACCTTCAGGGTTAATATGTATGGGTGGTAATTTGGTCCTGTAATTTTAGCAAAGGGTTGTTCATTTATTTAGTCTTCCATTGTTATTTTACTGGGATGTTCTTCACATTTGCCTTTGGTTTTGGTGGGCGCTATTCCTTTTCTGTGAAGAGAACAGCTTTAAGTATTATTTGTAGAGCAAATTTGAAAGAGTCATATTCTTTAAACTTTTGTTTACTGTGGAAGAATTTTATTTCATTTTCAAAGACAAAAGAAAGCTTTGCTGGATATGTTATCCTGGGCCAGCATTTTTTTGCTTTTAGAATCTGGAATATGTGACTCCATTTTCTTCTGGCTTGTAGACTTTCCTGTGAGAGATCTCCTGTAAGTTTAATTGGCATTTCTTTATATGTCAATTGATTTTTTTTTTATGTGCACATTTCAGGATCTTTTCCTTATGTTCAATTGAAGAAAGCTTGATGATCAACCCTGTTGGGAATTCTGTGCCCCTCCTGGATGTTGTTTCCCAATCATTTCTCTAGATTAGGGAAATTTTCCTTGATTATTTCATTAAATACATTTGTAAACCCAGCTTCTCTTTCTGTACCTTCTGCGACTCCCATAACTCTTATATTTGGCCTCTTAATAGTGTCTTTCAATTCTTGAGTACTTTCTTTGGCCTGATCCAGCTCTGCTTCCAGGTTTTTGATTGCTTCACCCTGATCACAGGAAATATCTTCCAATTCTGAGATTCTTTCTTCTGCCTCCTTCATTCTGTTTTGGAGACTCTCCACTGTTCTTTTAATTTGCTCTACTGTGTTCTTCATTTCTGATATATCAGCTTTCATTTGATTCATTTCCGTGTGATGTATTCCTTGATTTCCTTGAAAGCCTGCTTTTCAGGCTTCTTGTTTTTGATAAGAAGCTTTATACCAAGTGTTTAGAATTCTGTATCCCCCATTTTCTCGATGTCTTCCTCCGTGAACTGTGAGGTTGGCAATGGATTTTGCTCCTTTGCAGGGGAGTCTTCAGTAATATTCATAGTGCTTCTGTCTCTTCTTTTGTTCTTGGTCATTGTACTTCTGGTTATCAGATTTTTCTCCTTGAGGCAGATTTCTAAGCTGTTTCAATTGTAGTTGGCACACAGCTCTTTGCAGCCAGTTGTGCCACTCCCTGCAGCGATTTCTAGGTCTGGGTTCTTATGTTAGATGTCTGCCATGGTCTCTGTAGCCCCAGCTTCTGGCTCAGCACTTTGTTTCCACAGTGCTGAGGCTTCAACGTTGTCTGTACAACCTTTCTCCCAGTTGTGGTTGGAATAGGTTGCAGGATTAGGGAGTTACCAGGTGTCCTATATAGCTAGGTGGTTGTTGGTGGTAATGCTGCAGGAACCTTTTGACTGTTAGGTCTGAGGGCCACATGGACTTCTTTTGAGCTGTGCAATGGTATAGTCGGTATTATTTTCCTGTGGGACGAGTGCAGTGCACTGAGCTCAGTGAGTTCTTGTGAGCTCAGCACATGTGCAGCTCACTGTTGTCACTGCAGTCCTAAATTTTTACCACACTGTACAAAATGGTGCCTGATGTACAACTACTAGAGTTATTGATCTGCTGGCTGTCAGGTCTGAGGGCTACCTGGACTTGTCTTGGGTGGAACTTGTAGTATACCATGCTGTTGCAGTTTGCTGAATCAGAAATGAGTTCACTTCCAGCTCAGCATTTGCTCATTTCTTTGCCTTGCGTTTTCATCCTTAAAATGGTGCCCGATTTGGCTCTAGAGGGGGCGGGCTGGGTTGTGAAATCCACCCTGTTTTTGAACTGCCTGGGATCTGCCGCTCTTTTTTTGTTCTTGGTAAAATAAAAAAGAGCAGCAGGATGGGCAATTCTTTTTCTGGGCTCACCTCCCAAGCTCCCAGTGTCTCTTCCCACCTGGTTGTTGATGGAGTTCCTGCTGCTGGTAGAGTTCAGATTGCCTTTTGCTCAATATCACTGGATTATGTCACTGCATCACCACAGTGTTGGTTTCGCTGCTTTCCTGTGTCTGTCAGTCTGCTGGAACCCCTCTGCTGTTGTTCTGTCCTCTCCTGTTTCCTGGAATGTGCCCTCTCTGCTTCATATTGGTTAATGTTTCTCTGTCTGTTTAAACATGTCCTTACCCTATTCCACCATCTTGATTCTCCCTTTCTTAAGAAAATAACTCAACATCTCTGAGCTTCAGCTTCCCCACTTGTAAACTGGTTGGAGTGGTTACATAGCAATCAATCAGATTAGAGCATCTTCTTGGCTGACCTTGAGCCCTTTAAGTTGGAAGCCACCACTGGCAGCCAAATCTTGGCTCACCCGGAAAAATGCCATCAGATGTGTGTGTGTGCCCAGTCACCTTCCAGTCGCTACCGTCAGGTGGGTTCTGACTCTCGATGACCGGAGAAAGTGCTGTAGGAACTAATGGGAAGCACTCAGATCTGAGGAAGTAGAAAGGTGAGGAGGGAACTCGTGTGTCTTCTGTACCTGCTTTATGGCAGGGTGCAGGACACAGGACATAGCCGGTCCCCCGAGTGTGCCAGGTGCAGGAGGAAGGTCCTCTTGGCCATGATCTTGCATTGTTCCTTTTCACAGATGGATTGGAACACAGCTCCAGTGCCCTCCTTGTGTAAGCCCTGACTTCAAACAAGGACTCACTGAGAATGCATTTCTTCATAGGTCTTTCGGCGGCGCAGCGAAAGTTTGCTCACTCCCTCCGAGACTTTAAGTTTGAATTCATCGGTGATGCGGAGACGGATGATGAACGCTGCATCGGTGAGTGAGAGTACCATTTGGGTTTGCTTTGCTTTGCCTCAGCCACCATGTAATAACTCCTTTCTCGCTGCAGATGCTTCCTTGCGTGAATTTTCAAATTTTCTCAAGAATCTGGAAGAACAGAGAGAGATCATGGTGAGTTGAGGGTGACTTACATTGATATCAAATGTCAAAGGGAAGAGATCTGGATGTAGCAGCCTGCTGCGATGGCAGGTTGGATGCAATTATTTGTGTGCAGTAGAAGGAACATGAGATTGAGTTTCAAGCTCGGCTTTCTCGTTCTGTGTTGGTGGTGACCAGCTCTGGGACCAGTTGCTAGGCCTCCAGGTCAGAGCCTTTGGCCTTCGTTAATAAAAGAATAGAGAAGGTCAGACTGTGTTGGTGCCTTCTGACTGTTTAGCAGCGAACCACTTTCCTTGAAATAGATGTTCCCAAGGCTGGTGTTGTTGTACAGCAAGTTAAGCCCCTGCTTGAAACCCTAGCGTCCCATATCAGAGTGCTGAACTGAATACCAATCCAGTTCCCTGCTATGTGCCTGGAAAGGCAGTGGAGTGATGGCACAAGTATTTGGGCCCATATAGTCGCATGGGAGGCTCCTGGTTTTGGCATGGCCCAATAATAGCAGTTGTTTGGCCATTTCAGGAATGAACCAGTCGATGGAAGATCTATGTATCTGGTTTTTCTCTTGATCTGCTGTTCAAGTCAATGAATAAATCTTATAAAAAGTTAGGTGGTTCCTGTTTAACAGGATAAAAGCAGAAAAAAAGAGAGGGAGATGGAACCTCAGGGCTATGCTAGAACTGACTCATACCTGGGAATGTTTCTAAGCTATGTGGAGAGAGGGAGGGGAAATGGGCCCTTGATCTCTGAGATACTATTGACACTGAGATTCATGCTAGTCATTGGAGTGACAACAGAGTGTATCATCTTTTGGCTACACAGCATGGATTACATGCTTTGAGTTTTTTTTTTTTTTTTTTAAACATATGCTTGTTTCGGCCTGGTGCGGTAGCCTAGTGGCTACCATCCTTGCGTTGCATGTGCCAGGATCCCATATGGACACCAGTTCGTGTCCTGGCCTCCCCACTTCTCATGCATCTCCCTGCTTGAGCCCTAGGAAAGCAGTCAAAGACAGCTCAAAGCCTTGGGACCCTGCACTTGTGAGGGAGCCCCAGAAATTCCCAACTCCTGGCTTTGGATCAGCTCAGCTCTGGCTATTGTGGCCACTTATGGAATGAACCTTCAGATGGATGATCTTCCTCTCTGTCTCTCCTCCTCTCTGTATATCTGACTTTCCAATTTAAAAAAAAAAAATAGGGCCCGGCGCGGTGGCGCAAGTGGTTAAAGGTCCTCGCCTTGCACGCCCGGGATCCCATATGGGCGCCGGTTCTAATCCCAGCAGCCCCGCTTCCCTTCCAGCTCCCTGCCTGTGGCCCAGGAAAGCAGTCAAGGACGGCCCAAAGCCTTGGGAACCTGCACCCGCGTGGGAGACCTGGAAGAGGCTCCTGGCTTTGGAGCGGCATAGTATCGGCCCGTTGCGCTCACTTGGGGAGTGAATCATCGGACGGAAGATCTTCCTCTCTGTCTCTCCTCTCTGTATATCTGTCTTTCCAATTAAAAAAAAATAAATAAATAAATCTTAAAAAAAAAAATAGGGCGCAGTGTGGTAGCCTAGCAGCTAAAGTCTTTGTCTTGCATATGCTGGGATTCCATACTGGTACTGGAGATACTGGTTCTAATCCCAGTGGCCCCGGTTCCCATTATGATTCCTGCTTGTGGCCTGGGAAAGTGGTAGAAGACAACCGAAAGCCTGGACCCTGCACCCACGTGGGAGGCCTAGAGGTGACTCTGGCCTCTGGCTTAGGATTGGTTTGGCTCCAGCAGTTGTGGCCGCTTGGAGTGAATCAATGGACAGCGATTCTTCTTCTCTCTCCTTCTCTGTTGCACCAGGCCCTGTTCCCTAATTTCTAAGGCGATTTTGTGTATGTGGTAAATACTATGTAGGGAATGGTTGGAATGGTCAAGGTAATTGCAGTCCTGTTGAGTTTCTCTGCTCCTACTAACAGGTTCAGCCATTAGCCAAGTGAGCTTGTAGTTATGGAGTTTTCAGCTGTTGAGGAAAGACTGGATATGATTGAGGATAAAAACAGGGATGGAAGCAGAGAACAGGCAGAGGGCAGTTCTACAGCTGAACAAGTTCTTTTCTCATGAACAGGGTCCCAGAGACATGAGGTAGGTCTTTTTAGTTGCTGAAATGATGTTATGCCACTGCTTCTAAGAACTTAAAAAAATCATTCGTTGTTTTACTTAAAAATATTACAAATGAGTAGCATGTAAATTAGATTGTGGTGTAACTTACTAATTGTATATTCACAATTAAGACCAAGTTAGTAAAATGTCCAAAGACTAAATATGCAGGAGATACTCAACATTCCTGAAAAAATGTATTATAGAAGAATATATGTGGATTTCAACATGGTTTTGCACCAAAATGGGCTTAACACTTAGTTCTATTTCTTCATGAACTTTAAGTACCTTCATGTGATCATCTAAAATTTGTATTTTACTTATTTGAGGGGGGAAAGAGATGGAGGCAGAGGTGGGGGCAGCGGGGGAAGAGAAAGGGAGAAGGGGAGAAGGGGAGAAGGAGATCTTCCATCCACTGGTTTACCCCCCACATTCCTGAACAGCTGGATCTGGGTCAGACTGAACTCAGGCACCTGGAACACAGTCTAGGTCTCACGTGCAGCATAGACCCAAGTGCCTGAGCCCTTGCCCGCTGCCTGTCTGGGTTCTCATCAATAGGGAGTTAGAATGGGGAGCAGATCTGGGACTGACCCCAGGGACTCAAGTGTCCCGTGTGATAGCTTGTTTATAAAATACCGCAGGTACTAAGAAGCATTTAGGTCGTACCAATGTGTATAATGAGGGCTTTTTTTTGTGTGTGGAGGAGTGTCTTCTAAGTTTTCTTTATTTATGTACTTGAAAGGCAGAGTTAGAGAGATGGAGAGATCTTACATTGATTGATTCACTCCCTAAATGGCTGGGCTCTCCAGCTCTGGTCTGGACTAAAGCCAGAAGGCTGGAGCCCTATACTGGTCTTACATATGGGTGGCAGGGCCTGAGTGTTTGAACCATCTTCTGCTGTCTTCCCAGATGCAATGACAGGGAGCTGGATCAGAAGTAGAGACTTCAAGTGGCACTCATATGGGATGCTGGCATGTGACATTTTACTCACTGTGTCAAGCACTTGGCCTATATTTGTAGTTTGGAAGGCAGAGATCATTTCCAAATAGTTTAAAAGAGCTTTCTGTATCCTAAATACGGTTCTAAGATTTTAAACTTTCAGGAATGAAGTTGTCTGAAAGTCCAACATTCTGCAACAAGTTCTTCCTTGTAGCTTTGGAAGATAGCAGGTGTGCTTGTGTGTCCAATCTGTGTCTAGGCTATTTTTAGTTTAGACGTAGTCTTTCGTGCCTACTGCATATCAGACATAGTTTCTGTCCTTGGTTGATTAATAGTGCCTTGGGGGTGATGGTCAACATCGTAGAGTATTTGGGGAGTGGAGGGAAGGCATCTTGAACAGCTGATTCACAAGCTGAGTTGAAGGATGAATCAGTCGATAAGTAAGGAAAGATGAAGCAAAGTGCCGGCATTTGCCTTGAGGGGAAAACTGGTTGAATTTGCGAAGAGGGCAAGGTATGTTTGTCTTTTCCCTACCTTGTGAACTCCAGCTCTGTTTCTCTCCAAACACATGGTTGGAGAAGGAAGTGACAAGATCTCCAGGTTAAGCAGAGCAGTCTGCCTCTGCACATTCAAGTCCGGTTTCCATGAGCCGCAATGCCTCGCCTTTTAGGAAGCTGGCATTACCAGCTGTCAAGACAGTGTTTCCAAGCTAGTCAAGTGTGATGAAGTTGCCTCCCTTGATGGTACCAGTGGGGTCCTGGCATGCACAGTGGCCTGGGTGGCCATGCTCACTGCTGTGTATGTTCTAAGGAACGTGGTAGCGTTGGGCTGCCAGCATTCCAGAGTTGTTCTCTCTGGCAGGCCGAACACGCTGTACTCATCTAATATGGGCAGTTGTCCAGGAATCTAAGGACTTTGAAAATAGTGCTGTCATGTTTCTGATGTTCCTTTTAAAGCCCTTCGTGCTGTGTTTACTTTCCTGTGTGTGTCCTTTGATCGAATCTTGTAGATTTTTCTTCCAAGCCTGAAGATGAAGGCTCAGTTTTTGAGGATTTGGCAAAGTAGGGTGAAAGGTGAGGCCCAGTTCAGGAGGACTTAGGAAGGGGAGCCCAGAGGTGTCTGTCATGGTGCTGCTGCGTGTCTCCCTCTCACTCTGGGGACCACCAGGGCAAATGGGAGCCAGCTGACTTTGCATCTCCCAGTTGTGTCCCTTTCCATGGTTTGTGTAAGGTGGCCCTTTGTAGACACATTTTTCGGACCTTAGAGACCCTTCTCTCTCTCTCTCTCTCTCTCTCGTTCTCTCGTTCTCTTGTTCTCTCGTTCTCTCTTTCTATATGGTTTTTCTCTGCCATGTACTTTGCCCTCTGAAAGCTTGAAGGGCAGGAAACCCTTACTGGATGCCTGGCCATGGACTTTTGCCACTGTAGGAAGGTTACCCTGCTGCTAGGTGCCAAAGGCTTCCATTCTTAGCTCACAGGCTTGCATGCAAGGTACACTGGTGACTGTTGCAGCCCTAGTCGGCTTTGCTTTACTTCATAGTTGCCATTATTTGTGTGTCTCCAGTCTCTTCTGCAAGGTTTGATACTGATTTCCTTTGCAAGCTGTTTTTTTCTTTTAAAAAGTATTTCTGCAGTATTGATGAAAGAATACTGGTTGATCAAAACAAAATTGGTTTATCTTTCAGAAGAAAATTTCATGATATTGTTTCCTTTTTGCCTTAGGGCAGATGTTTTTCCCAAAGCATAATCTCAGTGGCAACTGGGAGGAAGTTTGAATGCAAATTCTCAGACCTCACCTCAGACCTCTTGAACCAGAAACTCTGGGATGGGCCCACTGGCCTCCAAGTCTTTCCAGAGATGCAAAAATAATGATCACTCATCTTGGTTTCCCATGAATTCTTTACCAGCAATCAACACACAATCAGATTAGAGATCGGGTTTTCCTATACA